GTTACATACATATAAGGATATGTTTACAAACTGTCCTTGTTTTCCAGTAGACTTGATGAAAAAATTAAACTTCGGAGTGCAACGCTGGGAAAGAGTATCACTGTACAGTTAAAAGGTTTGAAGGAGGACCAATTGGGAATGTCATAATCAAAATTCCTCGGAATGGTAAGGGACGATAAATGCTGATGGGCAGGTTATGTGCACATTTCAGAAATTTTGTTCGAAATATTTCCCCCTATAATTAGAGTTAATGATTAAAAATGGCCGAATTCATTAATAAAGCGCCATTTCGGGGCGTCAATTAATTAGAAGAAAAGTAGGCATTTTTCGTTTAGCCACCTAGCGACAAGCCATATTCAACTATTACGGGCTCTCAACAGTAGAATTTTAATACTGGGAAAATTCTAATTCGGGTTAGAGCACGCGAAGCATTGCGTACGTGTGTCCGCGAAAGTATACAGGGAATAGAAGATTTTATACAGTGGCTTAATATTTTTTTATTACGTGGGCTTTGTGTTTAAAAACAAGGAAGCAAGTTACTGTTCTACAAGGGATTATAACTCAACCAAGGGTAGTCAAATCGGGTCCCTGGTCAATTACTTAGTGAACTTCAGAGAAAATTTTAGTGCGTACAAACAACACCCATTTTCCAAACAAAGACGGCTCTGTTTGTTGTGAGACACCCTATATTGTAGCCTATCTGACTCCCACGTCTTTTCCAGTTGTCGAATAACCCAAAGCGATAGAAAATTTATTTGACAATGACTGTATAATATCCGCTGTTTCCTGATGAGTAACAAGGCTTAGAAAGAACGAGTTATGAGAATGAGTTAAACCACAAAAGCGTGGTTGGTAATTCGACAGATTACTTGATGTATGAAAAGCCGTATCAGAGAAATGTTTGTTGAATAACGAAGCTATTTCATTTGGACCATAAGTGGTGTAATTTCTATCCAGTTGGAGCTTAATATTTTCAAACAGTTTAGGGGATTCAGTGTTTTGCTTAATAATTTCCCATGCGGCTTTCGGCATGTTTTGAGAACTTGCCATTAAATTGGTTAAGTACGATGAACGTGCAACTGCTAGGTGTTCTTAAGTAGTGTAACATATCGTTGGACATAATTATTATTATAATTATGGTCGGTGTTTCTTGTGAGAACTCAGGTCTAGCCTGGTTAACTAATCGCACGGATTAAAATCAAGTAACGATTAGTGTCTATGTCTGTGTCTGGTGAAGTTATGTATGTAAAAAAAAAAAAATAAAAAAAATAAAAAAAAATTAAAATCACACACGTACATTGGACATCTAGGGATAGTATGTAATTCGTACTTACCAACATACCTATTGATGGGCACAATAGCCAACGCTATCAGGAAAGAGGAAAACAAAACAAAACAAAAAAAATCATTATAATAATTCCTGTAATTTTATTAAATGGAGTTTATTGTGTAAGTGTTTCTTTGGCTTTGCGTTTGGGTGCCTAATGTGCGAATCCACCACTTGCCGCCTTTTCGCTGCTCATTTTGTGCTTTATGGCTCTCGCTAGCGTAAAAATAAATCCCGAGGGTGGTTGCGCGGTAACTATTGAAATGAGCCATAGACAGGCACTTCCCACGTATAACTTTATTGTTAATTCAATTACTTGTAGAACAGAAATAAAACCCGTAAGTAATTGAAAGCTATTTTCAATCAAGTTTCCAGGCGCGTAGCATGCAAACAATATTACAAGAATATAGTGAACTAAAAGTACTTCGAAGTTCGATTCTCAATCTTACTCGCACATTATAGAGTAACGTTTTAATTAAATTTTCAAATTACAAATTGAATTTTCACTTCTATTATTCTCCGCCAGTTCCATTTCATCTTTAAGCTTTATCACAGACAGAAGCACAGTCAGTGCATGGAAACGGAACTTGCATTATTCAGTTGAAAAGTTCTATTGTAAGTCATCCGTACTCTTAAATTAGGCGGAGTCGCTACCGCTGCCTACTGCATTAATACAGTAAATCTTTAACTTTCACATGGGGGTTACACACGCAGTCTGCCAAAATCGATATGTACCAAATTTAATGATGCATTATGTTTTAATGGGTCATACAAATTTAGAAGCCTAACAGTGCTTCAATTAGGGACTACAATTTTTGATCTATGCACGGATGCGTCACTTCGGTGATTATTTTCCTTTCAGCGTTGAGCTTAGTGTGGTCATTACATTGGAGCTGAAAATGAAACATTTAACTGCAACTGTTTGACACGGTCAGTACTAAAAAGTATACGACGGGGTCGTAAAGGCAATTTATAAAACGATGACTTCTGAGTTGACACTATTTGATAATAACTATGATTATTGAAATTAAGTTAATGTCAAATTGAAATGTGACCAAGGTTGGGGTTGATTACTTCATCTCAAATATCTTTCCTTCGGGATAAGAAGTGCTTTACGATCATATGGAAGAAGTAAAATAAAGGCTCACATTTCTTTTAAATGTTCCGTTATGATACTTTTCTATTTGAACTAAACTAATTTTACTAATGAAATAGTTATTTATATAACAAGAGCGCGAAGTTCAATTTCGCGCATTGAGACTGAAGGTATTTTGACGAGGCGAAGCCGAGTTAAAATATCAGTCAAATGCGCGAAATAACTTCGCGCTAGCGTTATATACAATATTTTTTCTACAACTGAACCGATTGTTAATTAAATTGCTGTTTAAGTTCAACTTTGTCCCGTGCGCGAAATACTTTTTTTCACTGTTGACGATTTCGCGCACGTTGTCAAGAGCAACCTTACTTATTAATTAACCGATTAAAAATCTAGTACTTCGCGTTTCGAAATCCGTCAGAAAATGACAGGTTTTTTTGACAGTTGTAGAAAAAAGCTTTTAGTAGCTTACATTGTTCTTAAAATATATGATACAACTCCATTAAACTAATTCTAACGTGCCTGCGACCTATTCTGAATTTGTATTAAATTGTCGCTATTTTAGTTGATAGCTCGTTTTCTTCCTGCTGCTGCGTTACTTTAGTTACAGCTTTTCTTATGTAATACATGTAAAATATGTTCATCTGCTATGTTAAGAAGGAATATTAGGGCTACTTGTGTTTTGCTAGATTAATGGCAAATTATTCACGGGGTTATATAGGAAAAAGTGAACGCCCTTTATGTTATACTAATAAAAATTGGCGTTGGCGAAGCGTCCAAGGAGGGTACTTTCAATTTTTACCACCCGCCCGTTAGAGAGGAATCGCATTGCAGTAAAAATGCCCTCCCTCCCACTGTTTTACGGAAATACACGTTTCAAAACATCAGGAATCCGAATCAAATAAAATCTCGATTATTTCGGTCGGTCTGTCGGTTTGTCGTTCTGTACTCTCATTTCCGGCTAAACGGGTGAACCGATTGGAACCAAATTTGGTACACATATTTTTAGACATAAAAGGAAGAGTTGAAAAGCAGAATCAAATGTGTCAATGTAACAAAACACTGTCAGTTTTTGACGTTTTCCACGATTAATACACTCCATTAATATACGACCAATCAGCTTGGTGATTGTTTCAAATTCTAACCAATCAGATGATTTTTAATCTGATTAAAAGCTAGGTAGCTTTTTATCAGCCATAAAAATGCGTGTGGGAATGCCTAAAATGTAGTGGTTGTGAAATTTGATACTTGTATTAATCTCCCTAAAATACACTTGATCTTGGTTTTAAATCAGGATAATTTTATTTTTAATTTACTAAAATTTTGTTGCCTCCTGGAAAAAACTCTCGATCAAAAGCATAAGCTGTCGCGATTTGATCACGCTTTGATCTCTAGTTTTTTTCCGTTGCAACAAAACTTTCGTGTAAAAATAAAATTATCGAATTAAAAATAAAGCTCTTGTGTATTTACCTCCGCTATAATCAATGCTTACTCTGTGGTTTGGAGCAGATAAAACCAATTAATATAAAAAAAAATGGATCTCTTGTTACCCTGACATCCTGTCGACAGACGTTCTAGAGCGATTAAAAGTGCAATACACTGTAGAAGGCTCAAAAATATACAACCAAATTGGTTATTTGAGAAAAAGAAGAAGACCAATATTAGGTATCATCACAAAAAGACACAAAATATATAAAAAACAAAATACAATTATGAGGAAAATTGGTTTTCCTTTTTAGCGCAACTGAAAAAAATAGTATATTAAGATACAAGTGTATAATCAAGTCTTTAAAGCACGCGCAACGAGTTTAAGGGCACGACGCAAAGCGGAGTGCCTTTAACGTATATAGTACCTATTTTTTATTATACCTGCAGTATCATTTAAAAATAGGGAATACAATGAAGTCATATTGACGTTATACTCGAACACGTGTCTAATTAAGTGGGCTGGGTGTTCGTAATTTCACGATTGCCATGGAAATGTCACTTGACGTTTGCTTATAAAAATCATCGTCTTTGTGAATTAAACGATTTCCGTTGAAAAAGATAATACACCGTCCATTAAATCGATTGTTGTAAAATCTAAACAAACGTTGGTAGGTGTAAAATCCAACTCCAGTAAAGCCTATTATAAAGAATATGAAAAGTTGTTTCCATGGATGAATAGGAAGTTACTTACGAATACAGTCTTAAATGCATCCATAATGCTGGCATATATGAAGGAAATGTCAAAGGTATTTAAATCTTCTATATTTTGGTGCATTCATTCAAAACTTTAAAGCAATGCTGCGATTAAAAAGTGGAACAGATTTGGAAGCATACCCTAAATTACGCGCGTTTGTGAAAGCTTCAACCAAAGGATAGGTACAAAAGCCAAAGAAATGTTCTGCATTTACAGAAAGCGACCTAAGAGGATTTTTTATTTCATCCAGATGACAGTTTCAAAAGTCATACTTGAAGTATCGTTACTTAGCAACTTTAAAGCACGTGTGTTTTAAAGGCCCTTTTTCGCACGCATTTGAGTGTTTAAAACGGAGATTGTGATTCAGGTATAATAAAAAAACAATTCTCACTCACCAATCCTTCCGCAGTGAAGTCATAGGTCAGTTTCAAGTCCTCTGTCAATATAATTGTCGAATCTGTAATGATAGGAAAATTTATTAAGTATTTCCAAAGAAAAGACACAAATATACACAAACAAGTTAAAAAAATGAGAAAAATAATTTCTTATTTTGGCCACTACCGATTCTCCTTCGCTGAACCTGAAAGACACAAAATATATGCAAACAAGTTAAATTTGAGACTCTAGATTTTCCTTCGTACCACCATCGAAAGGACCAAGCCAATTCCCCTTGCCGACCCTTCTGCACTGGCGTTTTACGTCAGTTTGTTATCCGCTGTACATATAAAAATCAAATCTGCATTTACAAGAAATAATTAAAAGTGTTTACAATGATAAAGCACAAAACTGTACAACCAAAAAACAAAGTGTTAGTAGGTAAATAACACCGATATAGGCACACTTTAACCTTGAGATCTGCGCCTACGCCAAGGACTAAATCTAGGACTAAATCATCTAGTCCAGGGGTTCCCAACCTTTTAGCAACTGCGTACCACATGAAAATGTTTAAAGATTTTGGCGTACCACCATCTTAAATTTTTATTACGGCTGACACGCATACAGAGGTTCTTACACGTAATCGCTTGCTTTACCCACGCAACGCGTACCACTTATAACGTTCTCGCGTACCACCGGTGGTACGCGTACCACCGGTTGGGAACCCCTGACTAGTCGCTGTCTGCTCACAGTTGAATGTGTTTATTTAAATTATAAGATGTAACAATTGTGCGTTAGAACGTAAGAATCATCTGGTCGTTTTGCGATAAGAAATGCTATCGGATCTTATTTAATTAATACACGTGTTATTTACACCGTTAGAAGAGATAACGAAGAGATGTACGATTATTTTTCCCATTAATTTCGGCGTAAGTAGGGACGCGCGTCGCGTTCTGTTTTGTTAATGTATAGCATTAATTCATCGGCAAAAATCCGTTCCTAGCCGATTCTGTCTGGACAAACGTGGGTTCCGTTTTGGCTCTGCACAAAAAATGGCGCGACACAAGCACAAACACCTGCACGTGATTTACAAAATGTGCGTAAGCAACTTGCGGAATTTTTTCCGTCGTTCTTTTGTGTAATAAAAGTGCAGATGTTACCCGTTTAAACAGCCATCGCATTGAAAATTAGAAATTGTGTTAATTAAGCCAGTGTGTGTTATCATTGTATCAATTGAGTAGAAAAGTGGCGTGAAACTTACAGTGAGGGTTTTCGTATCAGTACTAAATTCGTAGGAGTATCGCACAACCGTTATTACGACCAGATTACCATGAAAAGTCGTCCGGTGAAACGAAATGATGGAATCCTAGCATTGTTTAAAAGTATTTGTATTCAAGTCATTAAGTTATAAGGGTTAGACGATCTTATACCCCTGCAATACAAATCTTACACAACTACCCACAGCGTCGTGGAACTCAAATGCGATTATAGCAAATTAACAAATATTCGGACAACTATGATTTTACTTTTAACACCAATCGCGGCGGTCGCGTATAATAAATAAATGCGTCTCTGCGGGAATTCGTAATTAAAACATAGTTGTTGCCTAAGAGTATGTGTACGATCTTTTACACGCGGTGGGATGTGCTGGAATGTCCGAAATGTTCGTGTTGAATATAGTAACAAATCGAAAAACCGACATTGGAGGCTTGAAATTTTTTTCTGAATGTTTAAAAGACTAGAGAATGTATGAATTACTAGCGGTTTTTTAAATTCTAAGCTGTGCACCTGCCTGAGTACACACCTTAGGCGAAGATGGAATTTATATTTCACATTACGTGCAATGCTTTCATTTTTTAGTTCCACACTAGCTACAGTATTAATATTCGAAGTCAGATGAGGCTGCTGAACAAACTATGTCATTGGGAATCAATTTTTCTATACTTTTACTTCGATTAAGTGAAATGGAAAATTATAGGAAAATTCAATTATTCGACACTGAAGATCATGACAACCAGAAAGTCAAAATTTGCAATTGGTCCTAAGTCAATTACTCAAACAACTCAAAAATTATAATTCATGATGGGAGAAATTCGGTTGCACGTTGATACTTAACATCCAGAAAAATTGCATTTGCAATATATCTATATAGTCGTACATATCCTGTTCAATCTCAGTTTCCACTCGGGATCCCTACGCTTAGCTTCTAAAGAGTCACCCTGTAAATGTACAACGTTCATTAGAACCAATTTGGTTGCTCTCTTAAATTTAATTAAACTTTTCCAATCTGATAAGCCGGAATTATGGAAAAAATCTCAAAAGAGAAAGCTTTTAATTATGCTGCCACTATTACAGTGATTATCGAGTCTGGCATGTTCGACGTTAAAAAAATTTGATAGCGCTCAAAATTACATCCTTTTTACGAAAACAATTTCTCTAATGAACTCCCTTCATCATAATTAAAGGCATATTTGGCGCAGACTTGGCAATCAGATACTTATCTTGTCATTACGCATTGTGAATTCCTGTAAATACGTATTGAAATACCGCAATCAGTTTGCTTGTCAACGAAGGTTGGTCGCGCAAGTGATTTTTCGCCGTAAAATCATTCGTCAATGCTTTGGCTTGCGTTGGATGAGCATCCAAGGGGTGGATAAGCCTGGGGAATATAACAATTACGTTCGCGTCGTTAGATATAGAGAATCCGGTATTGAGATCACTAGATGTGGTCATCTCACGCGACAAGAACTTACGAAGCGGAAGAAGCATCCCCTCCTTTTGTTCGTACTTTTTAATATTTTATGATTACTACGAGCTCGTGAATGAATACCGCTGATTATTTATTATTCGGGCACGAGGCTTAAAGGCATTCTGGATGCGAGCTTACATAATAAAGAAACTTTGTACATACTTAAAGTAGAGGAACACACAGAACCGTATTGTCCCTTGCATCACCTGCGCTCTTTTGTAAAAAGTACAAGTCCACTATTGTTCCGAAAATGATCAAGGTACGTACGTGAAAAGAGCAACGAACCGTTGTGTTCCGGTAACCATTACAGCTTGACTTAAAGTAGTTAAGGATCTCTTCTGAAAGGGAAAATGACGTATTGTTAAGAGGCAATTTCAAGTATTGGTTTTCGTAATTTGTTAGCGAGTTGTACAATAAATTTCTCAAAAGGATGTTTTTCTAAGAATTGCTCATCGGAATCGAATTTTACATTAAGAATCTCTCGATGCAACCATAAACGAAACGAAAATTCAATATGAAACTTCAATTTTGAATATGAGCACGTGGTTTTAAATCGTGGCACGCAGAATGTAGCAATAGGTGTCAAATCTCTCCAGAAGGAAGTGGTAGTTCACGTGTCAAACTTGATCATAACTTAACCGAGATGGCAAAGCTATTAAATAGGTACTAATGATAAAAAATTACAAGAATGTGATAGCATTTAACCATGAAGGGGCCAAATAGTTATTAACTAATACGCTAAAAAGTTACGGAAGTTGTCTCTTCCTTGAGGACCCATTTCACAACAAATGGCCACTCGTTATCAGTAGATGGAGGATATGTCAAGGGCGTTGGTCATCGCAGACAAATGGTGAGCTTAATCCAAGGTTACCCAAATTCGTATGACGCACCAGAAATCGTATATAGCGTAACTATTCGTAACATATCCGGTATTTAAACTGGTACAATTAAGACTAACATTAAAAACTAAAACAATTTTAGGTGAATCCGTCCTAACAATATTTCCGGAATTCCCAAATTATAAATCCAATCGCCAGAGATTGATAAATATTACCGATGGCAATTATTAAAATTCCTTGCATTCTAACTAACGCCTCAGCTGTTTGTTCAAACGAAGTGCACTATGTTACGGCTCACAAAAGAACGAGGAAAATGAAAGTGGGCAATCTACAACCACTGCCACCCACCATAACGACAACAGAACAGGCATCACAAGGTAGCACAAGGACATGACACACCACAGTATCAAAAGAAAACATCCAAACCCAAGAGGAACAACAGGAAGTACTACAAGGGGTCCTAAAAGAGGACGAATTGTTGGGTTAATAAACCAAATTTGGTTGGGTGTTATCCGGGCAAACAAAACATGGTACAAACTAAGGCAGTTGAATATTTGGCATCGTATCCACAATGGCAGAAGAAAACCAACTATCCACCAACAGTGGCTAATGGAAGATACAGAGTCAAGATTCAATTCAAAGGGAATGCTACACAATTCGGGTGCTTAGCTCAGTATCACATCAGCGTGATATGCGATCATCGCATTATCTGTTCGTTCTTAGGAAAAAAAGGCGATCATGAGTGCTTTCAAAATAATAGTTCCAGCACAATTTTAAAAAATATAGGCGTTTAGTTGTTGAGCTTCTATTTTGATTTGCTGTGTAAGTCCGATTAAAACCAAGAATGTGCCGAAATGAAATTTTAGAGCTATAATTTGCAGAAAGTAAGCACACCCACAATAATTTTCCCAAATCAACACAATTTATTCTATTTAGAAATGAACTTGACTTGTAATGCATCATCACCTTTGATAATATCACTGGTACTGCGCCTACCAACTCTTCCTTGAACACATTTTTTGGCACCTTTGAAATCAGTCAGATCAATCTTAAATCTCCTACACAAGAATTCTTCGGCAATTTCCGATACGTAAAAGCAATTTTTTTCCAGTTTTGAAAATAAATTATTCAGGTGTCATAAAGCACACGTGCGATAATAAATCCGCTATTTCTCCACCAATTCTTCACATACTTCACATAGAAGCCGACAGGACTATTCGCAAGAAAGCTACTAAATAGAACCTTGATAAAGGCTAGCGCACCTATAATACTCATTTACATAATACAATTGTCTTAAGCGAATCCCAATCAATAAATTTGTTCACAAAATATTGTACATCGTTAATTTCCAACTACAGGAATTTATTAATGCATTAGAGATGCTAGTGAATATCATTATGTTATAGCGTTTGTGTTACTTTTTTGTTTACGTTTCAATAACATTAAATCAACAATACACCTACACTTATTGTTTTCACGGTTGTAGTACATTTTCT